CTAATCAACCTGTAAGATTGAGCAGTGTGTGGTTTTCCCGTCTGTGGTCTTAGAGCAGGGGTCTTCCAACTTGGCCCTTTTAAGACTGGTGGACTTCAACTCCCAGAATTCCTCAGGCAGCATTGCTGGCTGAGGAATTCTGGGAGTTGAAGTCCACAAGCCATAAAAGGGCCACATTTGAAGACCCCTGGTATGGGGTCTGCTGTTTGAGCAAGGGGTTGGACTAGAAGACCTCCAAGGTCCCTTCCAGCTCTCCTATTCCATTCTATAGAAGGGATTCAATGTTTATGGGGCTGAGAGAGAGAGTTCCCCTTGTTTTTAATTCCAGAGGTCAGAGATAAATGAATTATAAGCTGCCCAGAGTTATTGACTGAGCAGGACAGCTCTAGAAGTTGAATGGACATCTGTATAGGCACGCTGGCTGAGGAATTCTGGGAATTGAAGTCCACAAGTTATAAAAGGGCCAAGTTTGAAGACCCTTCCCTTAGAGTCAACACAAATGGGTAGGGCCAAAAGTGTGGGGAGCTTTCAGAATGGAGCACAGGATTCAGGGGGTTATACACGGGGTAGAAAGTCAAGCCACGTGAATGCTGAAAGCAGCTATTTCATTCCTTAAACCTCTGGAGGCCTCTTGGCCCCCAACAGGTGCCCCTTTTAGAAACTACCCCCTCAACCTTTTATATATAAAAAAAAATCTGATGTTGCCCTGCCCTCAATCCCTCCGGAACCGGTTACGCTCCGCTTGCTTGGCCAGTCCTCAAACATTTCGGATCAAGTAGGCTTAACGCCACTTGGGTAGAAATAAGATATTCCTGAATACCTCTTTAGTGCCCGCTCTTCTACCCACAGAGCGCGCACGCAAAGACCGTTTTTAATCCTCCTGGCTGATTTTAATTCATTAAAACTTTTCAATGCAGAAGCTTTGCCGAGCGGGAAAGCCAGCCTTTTAAAAGGCAAACCCTCGTGGCAGAGGGAAAAAAATGGGGAAGGAGACCCCCCCTCCCCTCCGTTCACGGCCTGTCCCTGGAAACCACGCCCCACTTCTGCTGCTGGCTCTGCCCTACAAGTGCTAAGTCAGCTTGTTGGAAGAGAAGTGCAGCACTTCAAAAGGAGCAAGTACAGTACCACAAGTGCTCTAAAAATAGCACAGCCCCTACACCTTATGGTGAGGCTGTGTGCTCAGCAAGAGCAGCTACGTTACTGCTGCACAAAATGCACACCCAAGCCTGAGCCTTTTCTGGGGGTGGGGGGGTAGGAGGAGGAGGGGGTTAAGCTAGTGCTTCCTCACCAGATTTGTAGAACCTCATGCACCAAACAGGCCTTTTGCAGCAACTGCAGCAACCTCTGCCACCCTATTAAGCCTCGGGGAAGGAAAACAACCATCTTCTCAACCACTCAGAAGGAAAATGCTCCATTTGAGGCAGGCGTAACTGGCCTGGTGGTTAAGCGATCGCTCTTTTGCAAGCAAAATAGAAATTAAACGGGCAATCTGAAGTCAGCGGTTCCCAGAGTGCCAGCCACTAAGAAACAAACAAGCAAACAAGAGCCTGACCAGAGGGCAGGGAAAGGAAATTAAGATGGGTAAAGGCCTTTAATGAAAAACAGCTTGGCCCAGGAAGCACAAACAGTGCTTTTATGCTTGCGGATGGAAGTCCTCTCGTAACTTCCAAGCAACGCTTGGAAAAGTAAGGTATCAGACAGTTTGCCCAAAACAAACTATATATATATAAAAAAGTAATCATAGACAGCTAAGTTTGTTTCCATTCAGATTTCCACTACAGAAATCCTGAAGTGCAGTGTTTTTCTTTAATATGTTTCCAGATTCTTTTATCAAATGCATTGTTCATTGGTGGCCTTAAAAGGGCTGTGTGGGTTACTGCTGCCCTCCTAACACAACTAGGTGCACTCCTGCTACACACAGCAGTGATCTACACGCGGGTATAAAGAGAACTGGTGGGTAACTCTGTGAAACCAAAGAAACGCATCATCGCGATACAGGCACCCAAGGCTTACGCATTCTGCAAGCATTAAAATACATGTCTGGTTCTGGAACACGCGTGCCAAGAACAAGTCCTCACTCTGAGGATTGGTGACTTACTGCGACTCCCAGCAAAATCAAGCCAACTAAAAAAACAATTCTATTCAGCTGGAAGCTGTTCACCTTTGCCTCTCAGTGGAAAAGTGACGAGGGAGGAGGGGGGTTTAAACTGGAGCACTTCCTGTTGTGGCAGCCGTTAATTAAGGGAACTAACTGCCCAGGCAAGACGCATTTCATTCTGGGCATGCAAGCATCGGATCGGCCTGTGACTCACAGGGTTGGGTAGCAAGCCGATACATTTCCGTATTGATCAACAAGGAGGGTTTATGTTTTTGGAACCCGTTGGGTGATCAGCTGACTTACAGCAAAAGCATGCCCAATCCACTTGGAAAGATGCACCATGTCAGCTGAAAGGAATCGGGTGCTTCTGCAGGCACATGGCCCACAATGACAACCCCACCTATATGACTCAATGAGACAGCCTTTGTGCACTTCTACACCCACCCCTTCTATTGTGTCCAGCAAATGCAAGCTGCAAAAGGACACTTTCTCTTTCATTGGACAAACCGACACACTTGAACCAGGCCAAAGCTCTCCTTACACCAATTTCCAACTGCTGAATTTCTTAAGGACCTTCTCCTAACGGGATGGCAGTTTCAGAGGCAGAATCTTACTTCAAAATAGAATCCCGGAGTCAGCTCCAGCCCGGTGCCCACTCGAGAAATATCTACCTTAGAAGCCTGCCCAATTGCTCCTTCGCTTCCATGAGAGACCCCTCATAATTCCTCACAATTAGCCCCGTGATGAGAAACCTCTCACCCCACCAGCAATATCTAGCTCTTATCATCTTCTCAAACTGCATATTGTATCCCCATTATATGGCGTCTCCCATCAGCTGCACTTCACAGCCGATACCCCAGCTCAGGCAGGCAAAGACCAATATATCTTTCTCTTTGGTAATCCAGCATTGGTACCAGAGAAGCTGTCTCAACCGCAGAACACAAGCGCTCCATTTAGTCTCCCCAAAGCCTTTTTCTTGAGAAACTGAGGATGTTAGTCCCTACATAGGCTATTATTACTCTTCTGGAGAAAAAAGAAGAGAAAAATAAAGTATCATCTTCACAGCAAGACTGTTCTGTCCATTTTTATACTCCTCCCCTTTCTTCTCCTACAAACTCAGCCTCTTGACTTCCTCCAGACCTGTCATGTGCGTATCTCTAATTTTATCCACGGTTACCATCATGCCTGAAGAACCTACAATCCAGACTTAATATTCTGAGCAGCAGAGAAAGATAAGCAAGAGTTATTTTAGAAATTGGGCGGGCCTTGTTTTCACCTCTTGATCCTCATTCTTTCGTTACTCCAGCCAGCCAGATAGAAACCCTTTTCTCCACCATTCAAAGTATATTGGATGGAAAGAAACGTAGGCATTTTTTTCTTTTCAGCACACAGTTCCATGTCTGCTGCCCCCCTTTCATCTTCAGTCAATTTCTCTGCCTTTCCTCAGCTCCCCATCACTATCAGCCTCCACAAATGAAATTAGCTCGCAGTTGATTATGTCAAGCCCTTGAGGTGGGTATGGAGGGTATCCCAGTAATGCCTCCTGTCTCCCAACATCCTCCTCTCTGTGTAACTTATTCTCTCGGGCCAGACAACTATAAGTACAGGTCTTCCTCAACTGCGTGTCAGAAATAAACCTTAACTTTCGGCCAAGCATTTCTCCCCTCCTTAACACATCTCCCGAAGGAAGGAAGGAAGGAAGGAAGGAAGGAAGAAAGGAAGGAAGGAAGGAAGGAAGGACGAGGAAGGAAGGAAGGAAGGAAGGAAGGAAGGAAGGAAGGAAGGAAGGAAGGAAGGACGAGGAAGGAAGGAAGGAAGGAAGGAAGGACGAGGAAGGAAGGAAGGAAGGAAGGACGAGGAAGGAAGGAAGGAAGGAAGGAAGGAAGGAAGGAAGGAAGGAAGGAAGGACGAGGAAGGAAGGAAGGAAGGAAGGAAGGAAGGAAGGAAGGAAGGAAGGATGAGGAAGGAAGGAAGGACGAGGAAGGAAGGACAAGGAAGGAAGGAAGGAAGGACGAGGAAGGAAGGAAGGAAGGAAGGACGAGGAAGGAAGGAAGGAAGGAAGGACGAGGAAGGAAGGAAGGAAGGAAGGAAGGACGAGGAAGGAAGGAAGGAAGGAAGGAAGGAAGGAAGGAAGGAAGGAAGGAAGGAAGGAAGGAAGGAAAGGTTTTCCTAGTCCTAAATTTCCCCTCCCTCTCTTGAGGGCAGAGAGAGGGTCTCCTGAACTGTCAGGCCAGCCAGAGGCCAACAGGCAAGGAAAGGCAGGAGCTTTAACTTAAACCAAGGAAGGGCCTTCAAACTTGGCCCTTTTGTGACATGTGGACTTCAACTCCCAGAATTCCTCAGGCAGCTTTGAAGACCCCTGGCCAAGAGGGTCCCATATTGCTGCTCCCTTCCTTGTCCCCCCCCCCAAAAAAGTCCTTCCTCTTTATTCCCTGCCCCCATCCCCATTTCCTCACCACCCACCCCGACCCAGACTGGCCCCCACAACCACCTCCCCTCCCCATTGGGGGGAGGGGGGAGAGGAAGGGAGGAGGAGGAGGAAAGGCCCAACTGGCGCTGCCTTCTTCTGCCAGGAGCTGACAGGGATCCAAACGGAGAGCGTGAAGCCCCCCCGCCCCCGCCCCATTACTTGACAGAAACCATAAAACCACACACTGGGGGGGGGGATCAGCAGGGCAGCCCCCCCTCCTCCTCCCCTCAGAGGCAGCAGGGCCGCCTGGCTGGGGAGGATGGGGCTTGTAGTCCCCAGCTGGGCAGAGCGCCTTCGATGCGGACCCCTCCCCCACGCCCCCCCAAGCGAGGAAGCGCCCCCTACTGGCGGCAGCGGCGGTCCTTGCCCCTTCCCCCATCTCCCTCTCCTCCCCCCACCGCCCCGCCAGCCTCGGCCCGCGGCTTCCCTCACCATGTTGCCTCTGTGGCGGGGCCGAGCCCTCCTCAGCAGCACCAGCAGCGGAAACGGCGCCGACGGCAGCGACTCCGGGTCCCTCCGGGTCCGGCCTCTCCGAGCTCTGAGCCAGGCCGCAGCCGCCCTCCGCCTCCGCCGCCGCCTCCTTTCCCCCCCCTTTTTTTCCCCTTCTTTTTTTTTTCCCACCACTTCCGCCGTTGCCTAGCAGTTGCACATCCGGGTCAGCCAGCGCGCGCGCGAGCGAGCGCGGGGAGACCCTCCCATTCTTCCTCCCCCTCCCCCTCGCGCCACACCGAGCCAATCGGAGGGCCGCTCGCCGGGCATCGCCAAGTATGGAGCGGGAGGCCACCCCGCGCCTGCGCGCTCGGGGAGGAGGGCGGTGGGAAGGTCCATTGGAGTGCCAGCGGATTGGGGGGGGGGGGAATTGTGTGCCAGAAGGACGGGAGGGACCATCTACATACGGAAGGGGGTGTGAGAAGAAGAGATGTGGCGGAGGAATGGTTTATAAATAATAATAATAACTATTATTATTATTATTATTATTATTATTATTATTATTATTATTATTGATGGTGATAACGTTGGGAGGTCATCTAGTCCAACCCTCTGCTCAAGCAGGAAACCCTACACCATTTCGGACAAATGGCTGTCCAGTCTCTTCTTAAAAGAGTGTTGGAGCATCCACAGCTTCTGGAGGCAGGTAGTTCCGCTGGTTAATTGTTCTCACTGTCCTTAGACTGGACAGCCATTTGTCCAAAATGGTGTAGGGTTTCCTGCCCAAGCAGGGGGTTGGACTAGATGACCTCCAAGGTCCCTTCCAACTTTACTATTATTATTATTATTATTATTAGTTCCAGGTTGCTTCTCTCCTTGATTAGTTTCCATCCGCTGCTTCTTGTCCTGCCTTCAGGTGCTTTGGGGAATAGCTTGACTCCCTCTTCTTTGGGGCAGCCCCTGAGATACTGGGAGACTGCTATCCTGTCCCCCCCTGGTCCTTCTCTTCCTTAAACTAGACAGACCCAATTCCAGAAGCCTTTCCTTATATGCTTTAGCCTCCAGTCCCCTGATCATCCTTGTGGCTCTTCTCTGCACTCTTTCTAGAGTCTCAACGTCTTTTTTACATCGTGGTGACCAAAACTGGATGCAGTATTCCAGGTGTAGCCTTACCAAGGCATTGAAAAGTGGTATTAATACTTCACGTCATCTTGATTCTATCCCTCTGTTAATGCAGCCCAGCACTGTGTTGGCCTTTTTGGCAGCTGCAGCACACGGCTGGCTCATATTTAAATGATTTTCCACTAGGACTCCGAGATCCCTCTCACAGTTACTACTATTGAGCAAGGTACCTGCTATATTATACCTGTACATTTGGTTTTTCTTGCCTAAATGTAGAACCTTGCTTTTTTCACCACTGAATTTCATTTTGTTAGATAGTGCCCAGTGTTCAAGTCTGTCCAGATCCTCCTGTATCTTAAGCCTATCTTCTGGAGTGTTGGCTATTCCTGCCAGCTTGGTGTCGTCTGCAAATTTGATGAGTTCCCCATCTATCCATCCCCTCATCCAAATCGTTGAAGATGTTGAAGAGCCCTGGACCCAGCACCCCACTACACACTTCCCTCCATGTAGATGCAGTTCAATTGCGGACCACACGCTGAATACGCCGGTCAGCCAGCTACGGATCCATCTGGTGGTGATGCTGTCTACCCCACATTTTTCTATCTTGTCAAATAGTAGGTTGTGATCTACTTTATCAAATGCCTTACTGAAGTCCAAGTAAATTATATCCACAGCATTCTTCTGCTCCACTAATTTTGTCACCTGGTCAAAGAATGCTATGAGATTTGTCTGGCATGATCTGTTTTTGACAAACCCATGTTGGCTTTTAATAATGACTTTGCATGCCTGTAGGTGTTTCATTGGTTATCTTTTTCAGAATCTTCCCAAATATGAATTGGATTCCATGTTTAATCATTTCCCGCCATTCCTCCAGGAGCTGGACTACAATTCCCATGCACCAGCCTACACTTCTTGGCTCCCATCAATCTGCAGAAACAGAAAGTTGACTTCTCCCTGCCAAAACTGTAGAGCAGTTTCTCAAAATTGGCAACCTTGAGGTGTGTGGACTTCATCTTTCAGAATTCCCCAGCCAGCCAAGTTGCCAAGTTTGACAAACTGCTGCAGAGTGAAGGGCAAGAAACACAAGTGAAGGCCCCTTTTGGGGTAAGCTTGCCAAACGAAGCACAACCTGCACTCAAGATGGGGTGGATCCCCTTCGCATATTCGGCGGCCTCAGCTCTTCCCCTGCCAGAGGTGGACCACGCTGCCTTTTCTGACGGGAATCACCATTTCCTGACCCAAGATGCTCTTAACATACAAGGAAAACCCTCAGAGGCGAAACCCCCAGTTGGAAATTCCTGGAGGAACAGTTCCCTTTTCCATCACTGCAAATACCCAGGAAAGCCGGGAATTCACGGTAATTCCTGGTACCCCAAATTTACCTTTTCCAACTAATGACATCTCCCTTATGGAGACCCCATAGAAAATAGGGCTCTGTCCTTCCGTGGCTTTTCTGTCCTGCTTCTATTCCACTCCTTCCTGGAGTTTATGAGTGTGCTGGACCAGTTTAGCCATCTGGTCCGTTATATAGCTAGCTTAGGAATTAAGAACTGTGTTAGAGCATTTGGCATTTAAAGGGTTAAATGATGTCTCCTTAAGAGATGGCATCTGTGAAATGTAGTCTAGCTGTTAGTCAGTCCTATATCTTATCTAATCAGTGGGAGAGGCTTCAAAGTTTATTACAGGATGTCCTGGCTAGAGCCAGGGTTGTAAAAGCCTTTGTTTAATCAAGCACCGTAACCATGCCTAGCTGAGATGGGGAATTGTTCCTTTTTACCTACGAGAATGGACAAATAAGAATATGACCGGATGTATCTACTGCAAAGTAAGTCTCTGCTTAGAATTCCTGGACAATAAATATTTGTTTAAAACCATTTTCGTGGAGTTTATGCTATCTGGATCAGATATATATAACACATCTCAGTTCACGGTTCCAGAATAATGAGTTCGTTATATTTGAATGTTTCTAATCGCCAGGGTTCCCTGCCTGAGGTTCTTTATGCCTCCTCTGCTAATAAATGCCACCTAATTTCAGAATTGCTACAGTTTTTCAGGCTTCCTTCCCCTCAATTCACCTTTCTCGCAGGTTGCTAAGGCACATTTCAAAGGATTCCACAGCCAGTTAAGGCTCATTTCCGTACATGTCAATAATCACACTAGAGGCACATGGGAGATGCTAAAACCCAGCCAGGAGTACGCAGGGTGTTTGGGGTTAACTGACTCCTATAAGGAGGTTGGGCACCTTGTAAAAGCCTGTTCTCACAACTGCAGTGATCTGTGACCAGGGTTAGGGTCAGGGTCATCTGTGATGGTCTCAAAAAGAATCCCCAGCGATATTGAATTAAAATTGCCAAAATGTTCTTGACTTCACATATTTCAATCAGACGTGATGCATTTTACTTTAGGTTGAAACCTGGTTTGTGCTCCTAAACCGGAGCTTGTACTTGAACCGTACTCTGCCTTTTAGGATGAAAAAAAGAAATCTTCATCAAGTGGCTTTCGAGTGACATATAAACCATCATCAATAAAAATAATACTTCACGTCTTATTCCATGCAACAAATTTCCAGGACTCTTCCTTGTGCGGCAATTAGGAAAGAACCAAGGTTTATGGGTTCTTCTCTGCATTCTCCCAAGGGGTGTTTTATAGTGTGCTGTGTGAACCCAACCAAATGATGCTTATCCAGCAATCCTTGGCTAAACAAAACATGGATTGATGCAATGTGCAGAGGCTGCCTACGTAAGCCATCTGAACATGTCTGCAAGCACATGCTTTGAATCCTGCCTAAGCAAGTCTTTGAGTCCGCCTTCCGCTCAGCCCAGCAAATGTAATCATTTAAAACACAGCCTTCCTATAAAAAGTTGCGGACAAGCAGCTGGTCCTCATTTCAAACTACTTCCCTCAGGCTGAGAGTACAAACATTTTTTGGCCTGTGAGCTTAATGCAAATATTTGGGGTAAAGGCAGAAGAAAAAAGGCACGACTAAAAAGCAGCTGTTTGATCCTTTTTTTATATATATATAGTGAATCAAACCGCCCATCACTTGTCTCTCCGTGGGTAACAGAAAATACTCTTTCCTTGAACTACAGATTTGTGCAGGGTAATGAGTTCAGAAAGGAGCACTAAGGGGGATGACTTATCCTTCAAAAACTCAGTGCACATGTTTCTGAATTAAAATTGCATTTGGCCGTGACTAAACTGAACTCTTGTGCTGCCTTGATGTCCAAATTCACGTTCAAATTATGCTCTGAGAATCTGGCAGGTGACGTTCCATCCTGCTTTTCAATGAATTGTTGTAAGCATCGCAGAACATCTCAGTTGGGGAAAAAAAAGAATTTAAAAAACAGCTTAAAGAAACTTTCAACTATGTGCATTGAACATGATCAATATATATGTGTGTGTGTGCTTGCGTGTGTGTATACATACAGAAAAAGAGAGCAAGCAAGGTTTATTTTATAAAAGCCCTATAGAAAAAGTGCCGAAACAAAAGAAAGGTTAGTTTGACAGCTGAACACCTTTACAAAGCCCCATCCATATGTCTTTAATCAGGGGTATTTGAGATCACATTGTCAGTGACAATATGCCCTTTCCTAAGGCTTAGCTAGGTAAAAATGGATTTTATTTTATTTTTTTTAGCAAGGCTTCCTTTCCTTTAAGATCAGGGGAAAGCCTTTAACAAAAAGACAGAGTTGTCTGGCATTCCTTTAAGGGTTTTCAAAGCCTGTCACATCTTTCTTGATTTGCCCACCCTAATCCCTTCCCCACAAAAAAAAAATCTGAATGGTTCAACCAGCGAAGCGAACGGAAGGAAAAACAGAATGGAACGAGGTTTCTAGGACCTTTCCTAGGAATATCACGGCCATTTAAGGAGATTTTTGTGCGGTGCATCAGATAATAAGGAGGCATTTGAGTTTTATGTTCCATCGTGACACGTTTATATAAATGAAATCAAAGGAGGATGAAGAAGAAAGGGGGAAAGCGATGACAGAGGAGATACTTTGGGGGGGTTTTTTCCCTCTTGGCTGAAATAGCTAACTTTATTCTAACAATTTAAACTGCAACCCTCTGCATAATGCT